CACCTTACACCAGTAAGGATGGCCTCCATCCAATAGATAAACAACAACAAATGTTGGCGAGGTTGTGGAGAAAGGGGAACCCTCCTGCACTGTTGGTGGGAATGTAAATTAATTCAACCATTGTGGAAAGCAATATGGAGGTTCCTCAGAAAGCTCAAAAGAGAAATACCATTTGACACAGGAATTCCATTTCTAGGAATTTACCTTAAGAATACAGCAGCCTAGTTTGAAAAAGATAGATGCACCCCTATATTTATTGCAGAACTATTCATAATAGCCAAGAAATGGAAGCAACCTGAGTGTCCATCAGTAGATGAATGGATAAAGAAGATATGGTATATATACACAATGTAATGTTATTCAGCCATAAGAAGAAAACATATCCTACCATTTGCAACAACATGGATGGAGTTATGCTCAGTGAAATAAGTGAGGTTGAGAAAGACAAGTACCAAATCATTTCACTCATCTGGGGAGTATAAGAACAAAGAAAAAATGAAGGAACAAAACAGCAGCAGACTCACAGAACCCAAGAATGGACTAACAGTTATCAAAGTGAAAGGGACTGGGGAGAATGGGTGGGAAGGGTGGGATAAGGGCATGGAAAAAGAAACGAGCATTACAATTAGCATGTATAATGTGTGTGGGGGCACGGGAAAGGCTGGGCAACACAGAGAAGACAAGTAGTGATTTTACAGCATCTTACTATGCTGATGGACATTGACTGTAATGGGGTTTGTGGGGGGAACTTGGTGAAGGGGCATGCCTTGTAAGGATAATGTTCTTCATGTAATTGTAGATTAATGATACCAAAATAAAAAAAGCCTAGGAAAATATGTAACCAATGGTGATAGAATGGCACTTTGAAAACTCGGACACTGAAAAAAATTAATTGAACAACACAGTTAGAACAAACAGACATTCTCATGGATAAAATGAACTGATACTGTTAAAAGGGCCATACTACCCAAAATAATGTACATGTTCAATGCAATGCCCATCAAAATATGAAAGGAAAATATCAAAGAACTAAAGCAAATAATCCTGAAATTTAGGTGCAACCACAAGAGACCCTGAGTTGCCAAAAGCGTCCTGGAAAAGGGCAAAGTGGAGGATATCAAGCTCCTGGATATCAAGCAATATAACAAAGTTACAGCAATCTAAACAGTATGGTAGTGGTGAAAAAGTAGATGCCAAGATGAATGGAAAAGAAAAGACAACCCAGAAATAAACCCATGCCTATATACAGTCAAATAAGATGTGATAAAAGTGACAGGAATATATATACAAGTGAGAAGGATTATCTCTTCAATAAATTGTGTTGGGAAAACCAGAGAGCTACATGCAGAAGAATGAAAATCATTCTCTTCCACCATTCACAAAAATAAACTAAAAAAGGAATGAAGATTTATTATAATATATGAAACTATATAACTTCTAGAAAAAAACATAGTAAACTTCTGAACATCACAAATATCCATTTATGAAAGATGGTGGTAGTCAAGAACATCACTACTAATCAGCCAGAAAAATTATCAAGGTATATAATTTACCAGAATCAAATTGAGGTTTTTAGTAATGAGACCATATCATTATATTCTTATATGAAACCTAGATGTAACATAGATATGAGATTGTTTGAGAGATATTTAAAATGAAAATTTACACTCTCCAAGCTCAGAGGAAGCCAATAAGCAATATTACTGTAAAAATCATCACAGATCATGTAACTGCAGTCCCTCTGGGTTAAAATGAATTGAGAGGTATTGTGACAATATATTGCATTTTATTTCTAATTGAACAGGCCCAGTGGAACATTTCCAGTGACACCAGGGAAAGTAACAGCGAGAGAGCCAGAGTGCGGCACACACCACGGTCACATCAGGACACGTGCCCCGGGCGCCCGGACAGATGAGTTTCATCCGTGACCTCCCCGTGGCCGCAGGGGAACCCTACTTGTCTCCCAGCCCACAGTTCACCCTAAGGAAAATGTGAAACAAATTGAAAAGAGTTCCATGTTCTTTAAAAATAGAAGAGGACCTCAGACGTTGTGAACCTCACTTATTTCCCCTCAGAGTATGGGAGACAGACAAGCAGCGAGAAGAAGGATTCGCTGGGTCGCACAGGACATTGGCATTTTGAATCCCAGCTTGTGAGTATGAATACGGGGTTTTATAAGGTTGAAGGAAAAAAGGTGAGAGAAACGAGCCTCCTTGGGTTGCGCTGACCATGGAGGTGCAAATAATTTTAATGACAGGTAGCTTTTAAAAAGTGCAGATATATACATTATATAAATTATTTTTTTTGTACTCACTTTATTTACTTGAATATTTGTTCCTCTGATTTTTCTAGTATAAGACTAGACACTATTCTGGTAGGTGCTGTGGTCATTGCACATGACTGTGAGGCCGTATGCAGGAGCTTGTCTCTCTTTAGGGGTTTTTATCCCAGTGGCCTCAGTCAAGAAGCTGTATAAGGATCCATGATGTAACAATATTTTAACAGAGATGTGGAGGTAAATTTAATAATATCTATTATGAAAATAAACAGAAGCTCAGTAAATATCCTTACCAGAAAGCCTAAGATCATTGTTTTCAATAACAAATTAACATGCATAGAGAATAATTTGGTAATTATGATCATATACAGATAGTTGAGATCCATGTCTCCTGCTGTATTATGCATGAGTAACAAATATTTCAGCTCGCTTAGCCTGGCTAATCTTGTATAATAAGGTAATAGCACCAGAACTTAACTGAACATTTGCTCCATTGGTACAGATGGGACATATACTCAAAGTAACAAGAATGTGCATAGCATGTGCTTGAATATCATTAATAATCTTACATACTTCAAGAAATAAACTCTCTTTATGTAGAGAGAGGTATTTCACATGAGTAAAATCCAACTCCTTTTTTTATAACTGAAAGAACTAGATCCAGACAGTAAAAGAAAATCAGGTAAGTCAGAAAACAGAAAACACATTGATTACAAGGCTTATTAGAAAAATGCATCACTGGTCATTTCAGTTATAACATTGTGACTTTATATTTGCCTTTAATTTTTGTCAAGTGCATTTAGATTTTTGGTCTTGTAATTTTGGTCACAACAGGTCACTGGAGGAACCTTAAGAAAAACTATAAACTTTCTATATATTATACACATTCAGATGATAAGTACGTCCTCTGATAATTATTACTCATGAATAATGAAAGAAAAGTGTACAAAGGTATAACTTCTGGGAGAAATAATTCCAAAAAATTCACACAATGAGTCTGGTTATTAATTCCATAAAAACAATTTTACCTTCTTGCAGACTCTTGAGAAACCCACTTTCTGCCCAATAGTGCAGCCAAGGCGGCTGTTCTGCTCACAGCACAGTGAGCGTCTCGGTGTCCCAATGCTGGCCTGCTGCAAACACCAGGAGACAGATGTGTGCCTCATTCAGTCTCAGATGATTTTCCCTCATCAGGCAAAACACCCATCAGAGAAGATGATTTAAAGTAGTCCTTAGGTGAAGAGAGAGATTACCATTTTCTGTGACAGATGCTGTGTCTTAGATTACAGCAGTAATATTCTAACATGACTTGCTTGTCACACTTGCAATATGGGCCTTATAATGAAACATTCAGTGCCAGAGTCCAGCTCCTGCCGAGGGCTGGGATGCCTGAAGGTGCAGGACAGAGTCGGCGCATGGAGAGACAGGACACGGAGTCAGTGGGAGGAGGTCGCTCGACAAAGTGCGGATGACATCTTTATTTATACCATTTTGCACAAAGATATGATTATTTTTTATTCATTCTTTTGATTAACAAGCATAGGCAAGCTTTTTCTTTCTATTTCCTTCTGATCTATACATGGTTAGCCAAGTGTCAGACAGGTGACCTTTTCCTGTTCCTTGACCTAAACTTTTCTCAGTAACATGTACTCTACTGTGTCTATCATTTCTAATCAAAGTGGTTTCTAAATAATGCATTGGACCGCAGAAGTGCGCAGCATGTAGCAGTGACTATAGAGTCTATCAGCTCAGGGTGAAATACAGGTCACCCACTGCCACAGTTAGTTAGGCAGCTATTATTATTTATATTTCAAGAGGCTTTAATAAATTTGTATAATCAATCTAAAACCATAAATTTATATCCTCATCATACACCCTTTCATAGGACACAGTAGGCAGCAAAATAAATTTCCCTGTCCTATCCATATTTCTCTTTCCTCTAGGCGGATACCAAATTTTCCTTGACATATAATATGCAGGTCCCCCTGACCCCATCACTTTAGGGACTAAACCAGGAGTTTTTCTTTTCATAGCATTGCTGACTAACAGGGTTATTCCATTCAGTATTCTCCCATAACTTTATTACTCTAATTTTCCTATAAAACTCTTCATCACTCATTTCACTAGCATTGCAAAAAAGGGGGGCATTCCCACTTAGGTGGAGATGGGGTGGTCAGTGTTTGACTAACTACCTGCAGGGTTGGGTATTCCATGCCAAGATCGCCATCTGGCCCCTGCGAGTTCCATTCTTCAGGAGCACTGTCCTGAAAGGCTTCTGGGAAGTTTATGTTCTCCTCCTTTCCATGCTGTTTATCAAAGGTTAGCTTAGGCCTTGGCAACAATGCAAGCAAAAGCAAAGCCAATAGTATAATGGAGAATAACAAAATCAAGGTGGGTAATAGGGGAGCCAGCTCTGAAGGCCCCTGCTTTGCGGGGATCTCCTCCAGCCTGAGCTCTGCTACACAGCTTGAGTAGCATGGCTCCCACCAATTCAGCTCATTCAATGTATATGCAATTCTGTCGCATATTGAGAGTGAACCAGTGAGAGGTTCATAAGGCTAACATGCACTTAGAAAGAGTAGACCTGGGAATGTTATAAACACATACTAGCTAATTCTAATAGAAATAAATATGTACTAATGGAAGCCTTGAAGACTTAGCAAGAAACTACTAGGAGTCCTTACCTTCTCTTGTCCCGCACCAGGTGAACAGAGTGGAGGACATGACCAACGTCACAGCAGTGACGGGATTCTTCCTCATGGAATTCTCTGACTCCAGGGAGCTCCAGGTTGTACATGCCTTTCTGTTCTTGCTCATTTATGTCCCATCCCTGCTGGGGAATCTCCTCATCATCGTCCTTGTCACCTTAGACCCGTGCCTTCACACCCCCATGTACTTCTTCCTGAGGAACTTATCATTCCTTGATGCTTGTCTCATTTCCGTCACAGTTCCAAAACTTATTCTGGACTCTCTAACCCACAGGAGCCTCATTTCTCTCCCAGGATGTATAGTACAGGTCTTCCTGGTGACTCACCTCGCAGCATCTGAGCTGTCCATTCTCACGGGCATGTCTTATGACCGCTATGTGGCCATATGTCACCCACTACACTATGGTACCATCATGAGCAGGGCCGTCTGTGTGAGGATGACGGCTGCCTCCTGGTGCACTGGGAGTCTCTTTGGGGTCTTATACTCAGCTGGAACATTTTCTTTGTCTTTTTGTGACTCCAGAAAAGTCCCTCAGTTTTTCTGTGATGTGCCTTCCCTCCTGAAGATTTCTTGCTCAAAAACACACATTACCATTGATGTTACTGTAGTATCTGGTGTCATATTTGGAATTTTCTGTTTAGTTTGTATTGGTTATTCATATATTTGTATTTTCAATATAGTGTTCAAGATGCAGTCATTACAAAGGAAGTCAAAAGCCTTCTCCACCTGCCTGCCCCATCTCATAGTTGTGACGACATTTCTTATAACCGCCACTAGTGCCTATCTGAAGCCTGTTCCTGATTCCCCACATCTTGTAGATATTTTGCTGACTGTGTTCTATGCTGTATTGCCTCCTTCTTTGAATCCCATAATATATAGCCTAAGAAACAAGGAAATCAAGGCATCTTTGGGGAAGATTCTATGGAAAATTTAGCATTACAGGTTTTATGGAAAAAGCAATATAACTAGTATGTAGCAGGATTAAATTCTATTTTTCAAAGTTCATAAGAATTTTGTAATCTAGTGTAAATACTTTAACAACTCTATTAAATATTGTGTTATTTTACTTAAAGATACCAGAATAAGGTTCATGATTATTAATCAACTGTGATTATCTTTGAACATTTGAAAAGATGAATACTTCATACTTAGTGAACACTTTAGTGAAATCAGCTTCAGAAATGCTACTATAAGTCCCTGAGGAGTCAGCCAGGGTGTCCCTGTCCTTGTCACTGACACCTGTGAATATGATATCTTGCTTGGCTAATGTGACTTTGAGGGTATGGTTAAAAGAGTGAGCTTGACATGTGGAGATTTTACTGGAATTTCCAAATGTACCTACTGTAGTCATATAAACATAAATGTGGAAGGCGTTTTTAGCCATTGTCAGTTAGAAACATGTCAATAGAAGAATGGTCTTAAATTGCTGGCTTTCAGGATGAATGATGGCCATGAGCCAAGGAATGTGGGCAGACTCTAGAGGGCTGGCAGTTTATGGAAATGGATTTCCACTAGGCCACCAGCAGGGAATGCTGCCAGGCCACGTTCTCCTGGTTTTTAGCACAGTGTGACCTGCCTTGGTCAATAAATGGCAGTGCTGTATAACAATAATCAAATGTTTTTAAACCACAGAATTTGTGACAGTCAGTTACAGTAGTGAAAGAAAACTAGCAGACACAGAAAACCCTTGTCCACAGAAATGTTTTTTAAATCAGAATTTCTGGTAGGAGCAGGTATGCCTACTGTGAAACTGAAGTTAAGGAATATTGAAAAGAAGAAACTCACAATCTGTATTCTCAACATTTTTACAATTTGGCTAAAAATTTGTGTTTGCAGAATATTTTTGCATTTATTCATTGTTATATTACAAATAAATAAGAGATTAATATACTTTCATTAGTATTTTTAGTTATTGGACTTTCAAAATTGCATGAAAAATAGATTGGGATTTCTTTGCTGAATATTTTCAATTAATGACTTCCCTAATTCCTGATTTTTCCATAATTCTTGTTATTTTGTTATAACTAATACTCTACTGAGGAAAGTTTCATTTTTGCCAGTTAAAATTTCTTTTCACAACTTAAAGCTGACTTTTAACATTACTTCTAATACACTTTTATATATTAAACTGGATATTAAAGTGTATTTCATACTGTATGTATAGATTAAAAACTACTGAAAATCATTAGCTTAAGTTTCCATGGAAATATTGCAAGCAGATCGGCACTTAGAGCAGGCTGACTGTTGTGGGGAAGAACGGTTTAGACATTTAATGGAACAGAGTGGGGAAGATCAGTTTTGAATAGCTATTCAGTTATTTTTATTGTTCAAATTCATGAGAGGTCTGAGGAAAAAGATTAGTTGTATGACATTGCTTGCTGGGCAGCAATTTTCAGCTGCTTTTTAACAGCACTGAGTTTTTGAAATTTGGTTTTAAAAAGTAGAGGTATGTATAGAAATACGTTATTGTTAGGGACACTGAGAAATTTTCAGTTGGCCAATATTCTGAGTTCTGGGACATTATTTCCCAGTCTGAGCCATATATTCACTCATACATTTCAATAGGAACACTGTGACCTTTACTATTTTAATTATATGGCATTACTTTTCATACAGTATTTGATATGTGATGTCTACCATTACCCTCAATACCATGGTTAACCTCAATATGATTTATTGGATTTAGCACAGTTTTATTCTAATTTGGAACATGGAACTTGTCAGATAGTTAAGTGTGTGTGGACTGTATCTGCCTGCCAGTAAACTTCCCCCGCTGCTTCTTGCAGCCTCTCATCTCTTGCTCCCCTTGAGGGGGTGAAGAGGGTCATCTTCTCCATCACTACAAGAGCTAAGGACCAGAATAAGCCTCCATCTCTGACACAGCAACTCAAAACCAAAACCAACTAACCAAACAAGCAAAAATCCCAATAATAAAGGGGCAGAGGACCTGAACAGATATTTTTCCAAAAAAGAAACACAGACGGCAACAGATGCATGAAAAGATGCTCCACATCATTAATTATCTGGGAAATATGAATCAAAACCACAGTGAAATATCACCACACATCAGTCAGAATGGCCACTATCCAATAAAAAGGAAATAACAAGTGTTAGCAAGGATGTGGAGAAATGGGAACCCTTCTAAACTATTTAGTGGGAATGTCAATTGGTTCAGCCAATTGAGGTATGAAGATTCCTCAAATATCTAAAAATAGGAATACCACATGACCCAGTAATTCCACCTGTAGGGCTTAACCCAGAGAAAACATAATCCTAGATTTGAAAACATACATGCACCACCATGTTCATTGCCACATTATTTGCAAAAGCCAAGATATGGAAGCAACCACAGTGTCCATCAGTAGATGAATGGGTAAAGAAGGTGTGGTACATATACACAAACGAATATTATGCAGCCATAGGAAAGAAAGAAATCTTTCCATTTGCAACAACATGGATGGGCATAGATGGTATTATGTTAAGTGAAATGAGTCAGGGAGATAAAGACAAATGACATATGATTCCACTTATTTGTTTAATAAAAAAAGAAAAAAGAAATGAACAAAATAGCAGTGGACTCACAGACACTGATAAGGGACTGGTGGTTAGTATGGGGGAGGGGGAAGGTCTAAAGGGGCACAAAAATTCTCAATCACAATATAACTTGGTCATGGAGACAGGAGTGCAGCACTGGAAACCCAGCCAGCGATCCTCTGATACCTCCTGTGTGGACAAATAGTGGCGGCACTGCTCAGGGTGAGGGTTTAACCACATGGTTTACTGTTGAACCACTGTGCTGTGTACTTGAAACCAATGTAAGAGTGTTTATCAACCATATATCAATAAAAAAAGACACTAAAGAATCCCCACATGAGCTATCATTTCACACCTGTCAGAATGGGTACCTTCTAAAAAGAAGGAATAGCTGTGTGGGCAAAAATGTGCGAAAAGGAAACCTTTGCACAATGTTGCTCAGGATGTAAACTGATGCAGCCACTATGGAAAATATTATGGAGCTTATTTTAAAATTTAAATGAAGAACTAACATATGATTCAGCATTTCCACTTTTGTGTGTTTACCCAGAGAAAATGTAAACATTAATTTGGAAATGTTTTGAAGTCCTGTGCTCATTGTGACATTATTGTTAATCCCCAAGATATGGTAGGAACTTCTTCCCACAGATAGATAATTGGATAAAGAAAATGTAGTATATATATATAATGGATTACTATGTAGCTTTAAAAATGACATAATATCATTTCCAACAACATGGATGGCCCTAGAGTATATTAGGATAAATGAGATATGTGAGACTGTTCAAGTTAATAACATATGATTCAACATAAATTTGGAATCTAAGAAACATACCAAATGATGAAGCAAAATGAAATAAAACAGACACATCCTCATAATTACAGAGAACAATCTCATGGTTGCCACAGGTGAGGGGTGTGAGTGTTTGTAAAGGAGCTGAGGGGGAATTAGAGGCACAAGCTTGCAGTTATATAGTTAATAAATTACGGGTATGTAAACTACAGTATAAGGAATATTGCCTGAAACATTTTACTGAAATATAGTTGATACAGAACATTGCATTTGTTTCAAGTATATAACATAGTGTTTCAATAGTTTATTTACAATTATGAAATGCTCAACCCAATTAGTATAGTTACTATCTGCCATCATTGACAGACATTACACTATTATTTACTATATTCTCCACTCCATACTTTCATCCCAATGACTAATTTATAACTGAAATATTTGTGCCTGTTTGTATCATTCACATATGTCATCCACATCCTCCTACCCTGTGCTCACAGTAGATTTAGTTTCTACTCTGGGATAATGAGTCTATTTCTGTTTAGCTCATTAATTTTTTTTTGTATTGTTTCTTTGGTTCCCTGTGTAACTGAAATCTATGCTCAGGTTTGTTCTATTTGTTTTTCCTTTCCATTATTATGGCGAAATGACTGGCATGCATCACTGTATAAGTTTAAGCAGTGCACCATAATGGTTTGATTTGCACATATTGTGGAACAATGACCAAAACAGGTTTAGGTAACATCCGTTATGTCATAGAAACCATAGGAAGGAAAGAAAAAATTCCTTTTGTGATGAGAACTCTCAGGATCTACTCATCTCCTCACAATTACAGAACTCAGACCCCATATTTTCTTTTAATTTTTGTGAAGTGCATTTAATTTTTGGCAGTGTAATAGTGCCACAAAGAGAATATTGAATGAGGAATTAGAAGTAATGTC